CACCTCCAAGCTGCTCCGAATCCTCCAAGCCAGATGATTTAGCAGATAACTTTTTCCCCATTTGGTAAGGAATCCCATATATCACGAATAAATTACATTTTTGTTGAGATTGGCTAAAATCAGTGTTTTTCACTTTTTGGTTTTGCTTTGCTTTGCTTGCAACCAAGACAATAAACAAAGACAATTAAATTGTGCCCCACTGTGCTTCAGTTGTGTTTATCCCATCTCCACAGAGGCTTCACAGGGCTCTTTAAAGACAGGCTAGAATTTTTCATCTCCACACTCTGCATCCTGGGCATAACAAATGCTCCTCCAAGCAGTCTGCTTATCTGCTTGTAGATAAAAGTTACCATTGCCCGGAACTAGACTAACTAGACTCTCTCCTCACTTTTTAAACTGGATTTTGCTTTTATGTAAGTCTATAAAACAGAGTCCATTTTCAAATTTCTCCAGTTTCTACAAGCCATGAAACAACTTCATGGAAATGGTATTCAGAATCTGCAAAGCTCTAGTCTCAGGACCCCTCTGTAGCTCTGATTCATTAAATAACTAGAAAGTCAGCCATGATCCTGGATTTCCTGGTTTGTTTCCAAACCAAGAACTCTGCTGGTGCCAAGCCTAGCAGGAGTTCCTGAACTAGCCAACATTCCTTGAGTTTCCTTTGAGAGGTGAAATGAAAAGGCAGCTTAAAATGCATTCTATAAGAAAGAAAGGTATGAACAAGTTAAGGGGAAACTACAAAGGAAGTGGACCAAGTCCCAAAATAAAAGGCAGGAATAGAAAACTAAAAATAACACGCAGGGAAGTGTGCCACATCTGTAGTGCTCCTTGCATTCTCCTGAAGCATTGTACCTTTTTTTTTGTTTTTCAGGAGCATGCTAATAATTGTTTGGAGATTTAAATAGAACTCTATTATTTGTTCTTTAAAAATAGTCACTTCTTTTGTAGAATTGTGAGAGTTTCAAACTGTAATAATTGAATTTCACTCACTGTGATGTAACGTTTAGAAGTTAGTCCATTTTCTTCAACCTCTCTATTCTTCTTTTCAAACATATATAAAATATGCTTTGAAATACTTTTAATTTTTTTTTAATATTTTAAACATTTCAGTCTTGCTGCAATGAAGGAAGACTTGAAAGGCCCCCCAAATGGGGTGGGTTTTAGGATAACAGTCACCTGCCACCTATTGGAAAGTTTAGTGCATGTCAGAAAAGGCAACAGGACCAAGTGGCAGCGACTGAACTGTGTGCAAACGCGGACACCCACACCTGACACAGTGGACCACGGAGGACAGAGTCGTTAAATAACACAGGGGAAGTCAATAGCCGGTGAGTATCTCAGTGAGTTGATCCTTGTTCCCTCTTACTCAAAAACTCCAGGATCCTTCCATACTATTTAAGATGATCAAAAACATTTTTTAAGTAAGCTAACTATGTACAGTGAGCACAGAGCCACCAACAGGAAATCCATTGCTCACCTTCTCGATTTTGCTTCCTTATGAAGACTTTTATTAGATTGATATTTAAATTCTCAAAGTATGTTGTCTGTAGACCATGATGAATATAGTTGCCATTTATCCACTGTGTGAGGTTTCTCTTCTACCATTCAAACAACTATCAAATTATTATGCAACTACTTTTTTTCCCTTAAGAGAAATGTGTTATAATAGATTTTAAGAAAATGAAATCTCATCCTGGGAACAGCTCATATAGAGGTCATTCTCAATGTTTGTTAAATAATCACTTCCAAGTTGTGAATTCCTGTTTTCTCTAGACACAACAAAAACAGGAAATATTTACCAACTTCACAGGTGTCAGGAAATACTTTAAAAACCCTGGTGGCCCAGATCACCACTTCAGCATATAGCAGTTACATGCATAGGTGCAGAAGGTATATTGTAATCTAAAATGTGAACTTATGATCCAGAGACCTTTGACTATGCTTTCTAAGGATTCACTTGCTTTGCTTCATAGAGACCAAAGGTTTGTTCCAAAAGATAAGCACAGGTTATGTTCATGTGCTTTGTAGCCTAAGTATTTACAAGAAAACTCCAATTCTCTTTATTTACTTGTTTGAAATTCTATTTCCATATTTAATAAAATGCCAACATGAAAAGGTACATCTCAAAAGTACTGAAATAAAACATTATGTTAAGTCACCATTTATGGAATAAATCACTAATTTGATTTCCTCTGTTTAAATTTGCGGCAATTTCAAAAATGGAGAACATTTTCCCCACTTATAAAATTAACTACAAAACTTTTAGAAAACAGCTAAAAATATAAAGATTAAGATAACATCACTGTTAATGTCTTGATTTGTATGCTGTGTATATTTTTCACAGAAATAAGATGATTTAAGTGGACTTGTAACATTTTTTTCACTTACTGTACAGCCAAAATGTTCTTTATCAACCTCTACTCAATCATCCCACTGAAATCAACATACATCTCCATTTTCCCCAATGATATTTGATTACTGACATCCGTGGTGTACAGTGCAGTTTGCAGGCACCAGGCCTCCCACTTGGTTTCACTCTACCCTTGCATTTCCACCAGTTGAAATTAAAACATAGCAAGTCTCTGTGGCATTTGTTCCCAAACCTGTTGTGCCAGTTATCACTGTTACTTAACTTAAATATTATATACATCAATAAGCTGGCAATATTTTTAAAAGTGAAAATTATTGTTTCTGTGGACACTAAGGTGAATATTTTAAGGAAACCTGGTAAAGGTATCATTTTTAAAAACAACTGCTCTCAACCTGAAGAGTCTTGAAAATCTACAAGGAGCCTGATCATGGTCTAGGCAAGGAAGATCAGGTATATGCCACAAGCAGCCAGACTGCCTACCAGCTCCCAGCACCAATTACATTGACACCCTCTGCTTTGACTTAAATGTGTTCGACATCAGTCACCTCATATGCATCATTTTTTATGTCTAAATCATGCATTGGTCATGCCTTTAACCAGTACCTTATCAGTGACCTTTCAGTATATTTTCAATTTTTCAATCCAGTGAAAATATTGCAACATTTATTATATAAATATTTTCATACACTTTAAAACATTATTTCCTTAAAATAAATTTACATAAGTACAATTTTGCAAGAAAATCTTCATTTTTTAAAGTGTTCTTAGAAAACATAATTTTTAAGGCCTTTTTAAAAAAAGTAGTTTTTAAACCTTCTTATAGATACCTGTTTTTAAATGGGTAAACTAAAGATTTTAATGTTTCATTTTTCAAAATCAACAGCTAAAAATAATATAATGATAAGTAGTAGAGTTTTTATTACCACATAGAAGATTTTATCACCAAATTTATTTGTATGTAGGTGTTTTCATCTATAATATACAAGGTTTAGGCTAGAATACTCTAGGCCCCTCTTCTCAACCCCAGTATCTCAGATTTCCATGTACTTCTGTATTTTCTAGAGGGGTTGGAATGTGTATAAATACATCTACTTTATAAAAGTTATGTCCCAAAAATCTATATAAGTGGAACTTTATAAACTGGATTCGTGTAAACACATCAAATTGTGCCATTGTTTCAGAAAGTCCTTAGCTCTGTTTCTGACTAATAACTCTGCGGTTAGAATGGTGTTGCTAATTTTGAGGGTGGGGGGACAGAAAGAAACAAATACTGTCCTAGCAACTAAAGTCTACAGTTGCACATTGACTCCCCTTTGGTCCTTCCCAGACGACCTTCTAGAAAAGGCTCCTCTGCCATGCAGTTTTAGACTTCCAAGCCATCCTCTCCATGGACTCTGCTCAACTGTGGCACAAGGACCTCCTAAGGTTGCTCAGGTTGGCTTGAACTCCCCACAATATATGGCCCCCCGTTCACCCTTCTTGAAAGTCACTCTATGAAACCAGATGCTCCTTGGTTACTTCCTAAGTCTCGTTCTCCCACCTCCATCCTTTTAGGGGTTTTCTACTTGTCCCTGACAAGTCCCCACACTTTAGCTTAAACTTTCTCTGACATTTCAGCCCTCTCAGTTAAATATCTGCAAGTAAAAAATTAAATGAACAACTGGTTAAGAAATACTGCAATACATTCTTTTAGAAGGCCAACAATGATTGGTTTTATCTCCCTAATAGGAAAGTCTAGATTTCCCTATTTCCTGATTCTCAAAGTGTAGTCTGTGAACCAGCAACATTTGTATCACCAGGGAGCTTGCTAAGACACAAAATTCTTGGGCCTCACCGCAGATATACTGATTAATTTGTGTTATAACAAGGCCTGCAATGATTCTGATGCATACTAAAGTTTGAAAACCACCACTCTATAGTACACACCGTTTTAAAGCCCGGACTTAGTTTAATAACTAGTATTTACCAACAGGTAATCAGTGATAATCTCCCTCTAAATATCTATGTGGTGTTGAATCACTTCTGTGGATCCTTTATTCCTAAGGAATTCAGAAGAGAAACCCAACAAAACAAAAGAACAAAGTATGTTCAACGTTTAGTATCTTGATACTGTGTGAAAGAGTTAAGATGCGATTTCAAGCCTTAGTCCTACAGCTACCTTGTGATAACAATGGCCAGTATTTGATTTTTTTGTGCTTGTAGAATGAGCTGATGCATAGGGACCTTATTTAGGAAGTTCTAAGGCACAAGGAAACCAAATATGTGAGGCAAAGAAATAAATATTCTGCCCTCCTGTTTTATTTATTTATTTTTTAAATAATAAATTTTATTTTTATATTCCCCCATACAATTGCAAACCCCCCATTCTGACCCCAATCCCTCCCCTCCTGCCCCCCACCCCCCAAAAAGTGTCTCTGGTTCATAGTTTTTTGTTGATTTTGATTTTCACTTTCTTATATTCATTTTCCTGGTCCCTTATTTAAGTTTTCTAGAAGAAACTTACCTGTAGCAGAAAATTAATTGGAGCAAACTGCCCTTAAATATACATAAGCGTTCTTATTCATTAAAAGAATTGATTGAATAATTTTTAAGTCAGAAATGGACTCAGAGCAACTGGATTTCTTTGTTGGTTTTTTTATTAAACAATAATCAACTTGTCCTTTAAGTTTATTCAGCTTACATTCAAAGACCCTCCCACACACAGATTCACAACTCTATTGGCAACTTCAAGAATAAAATGTAGGTACATAGTGAAATAGCTCTTAAATAATTCTTCATTCCAAATAAAATACTTCCTAAAAAAACTACTACAACTGCCCTATTTGTTCTGAGATCCTCCCAAGTATAATCCTAATTCCACTTAGCAACCATGTTTAAAAGGAAAAATATGAAAAATGAATATACTTTACAGTTGATATTTCCTTCTGAAAATTGACCTTCTTTTCTAAGTTCCTAAAATGCTATTTTCTGCTTTAAATTTAAAACTCATCTAAATTATAACACTTATTTTCAATAAATTCCCTCTATTATTTATTTGTTGATATTTTGTAAATTCATACAACTGTTTTTCTGGGTTTCTCTTAAGCTTATTACTGTTTGATATTACTATGATTATTAGTCATAAATTTACTATGCCTTGGATTTTTTAATACCTTATAGAGTTACAACTTTAGTCTAACTATTCTAAACAAACAACATTATTCATTCCTCAAGAAGGTGATAAATATGGGTATGGAGGATGATTCGTACTAACATATTTGCTTACAAAAATATATAAATATTTACCTTCACACCTCCCCCAAGTGGGCAAAATACTTAACAACTCTCTCTGAAGTGGAATTTTTTAAAAACCATGTATGGAAGTGTATATTTACCCTCCGTCCCAGAACCATCCTTCAGTCACAGGTAACCTGGGAACTACATTAGCAGCCCTTTCAAACCTGCCCCAATTCAAGTTTGCTACTCAAACTCCCATGAGCTTCAAACATCCCACTTCCTTCAGGGATTGTTTTGTTTTGACTTTTCCCAAAGTAAAAATAAAGTACAGTTAAATTCTATAGAAGCTAGCATAAGGAAGATCTAAATATTATACTCCCCCACACCTACCCCACCTTTACTTGCTCCTAATGTTTCCTCCATCCTGTATCCCAACATTAAAATACATCTGAGTCAAAGAACCATGGACTCACTGTGCTTTTCTGCTCTGGCTAGCTTTCTCTTTGACTGACCTACTTCCATGTTAAGATTTGTCTAAATTGCATTTTTAGCTCCTCAAAATTACTATAAACACATTTTTAACAATTTATATGCATTCAAATATTTAACAAATGATTATCTAAACGTGTTCAGTCATATGCATTTTATGGATTGTTAGTAGCCTTTTTTTTTTTTTTCTGGACCTGAATCATGGTTGGTCTCCAAAAATTACAAGTCCATATGCAATCATCTAGACTGTTCCTAAAGTATTGGCTGCATTGAATGATCATGAAAATAGAGCCTTCTTGTGGAAATCCCATCCAGGATCAGCGAGGATTCAACCATTTCGTTACAGGAGAGCGAGCTGCATTCTCTTTCACATGTTCTTCTCTCACAGCATTGCCATCTCCAGATGCCATGTCATGCTCTGAAATTCGGAGGAACAGAAATCATGTCCGGTGTTTAAAGGCCGAAGATCAAGTACAATTGTGCCTTGTTTTTTTACTAAAAAAATTTACAGTGAATCTAATAGATTCAAAGATTCTGCGCTAGTACTACTCACTGACTCATCAGTGAGCATCTCCCATCTAAGATGGCACCATCTGAATTACTTCTCTTGGTAAACCTATCACCAGTCATTATCTTAGAAGTACATTTATCTTTTGCCCTTTTTCCCATATGACCTGACTCCACCACTAGACTATCAGCTCTGTGAAGTCAGGGACTTTGTTTTTTTTCACTGTCACAACAGTGCAAAGAACATCCTAAGCACTTGGTAAATACTTATGGGATGAGCAAATATTCCAGATCTCTAAGCATGAGTTTTCCACTATCTGGTAAGAGTGATAGCTTACTGGTGTGGCTCCAGAGGGCAGGAGGAAAACCAAGAACAGAATTTTTATAAGTACATTCTGGCTCATTCTTTCCTCTAAGAGGAAAGTTGTAATACTTAGAATTTTCTAAGAGTAGTGAGGTGTGTTTCCTTCAGTGGTGCACCTCTTGAAGGGAATGCTATAAGAAGATTAGAGTAGGCTGGCAGATAAAAGCATATAAATTCATGAACCTTTCCAGATATTACCTCTCTCTCCCAAAAAAATGCTTGTGAATTCCTAGTCTTAGAAAGCTACCCACTACCAAAGGTTTGGGAAACGAAGACAGGCAGTCCACTTTTCAAGAGTGTGGTGGCCAACGGGTAGGAAGCAGAGAACACCTCATTTAATCAGGCTTCAGGAGGGACCCCCACAAGTCCCTGTGCTGATAAACTTGGGACCATTTAATCTGCTCTGTAAGGTCAGTCCCAGACAGATTTTTGCAGGGGTCATGTGATACCCATGGCAGAAATAAAACCCCAACCCCCTTCCTATAAATTGTGACTTGTGAACCCCAGAAAGCCACATACAGACAAGGCACAGGGCATCCTGGACAGTCACTCCACAAGGCCTTTAGGATATTCTGCTCTCTACCCCGAACCTGGCCAAGGTTTATCAAGATTGCACTATTAATCATTTTTTATTTCACCGTAAGCCAACAAAATGGTTTAGGTCAAAAAATGCTCTTTCCACAAATTTCTAATAGGAATCTTGATACCTAATATTGAGATAGAAACTTTTTTGGATAATCTATTGTATAACTTCCACCCAGCAAAATAACAGTTTCCAAGGCATTTATATAATAGTGGAGATACTTGCAGAATCCACAAGCAAAAGAGACTGTGCAACAGTTCCAAGGAGAAGGGGCTGTGCTGCTGTGAGTGCAGTAGGGTCGGGGCAGGGTGGGTGGGGTGCCGGTGAGACAGCAAGAAGTGTCCCTGCCCTTGAAGATTATCCCAGAGGAGCATCTGGGCTCCCAAACATTCCATCTCAAACACCAACAAAGATTCACAAATGATTCATTTCTCTCTGGGTGAGAAAGATTTACATGCAACTAAGCAAGTGAAGAGTGAAGAGGGATGTGAAAATTGTTCCTTCAAAGCCCTCGTCAGCCAGTGTTTAGGAAAGCAAAGCAAGACAAAAGAATTTGCAAGTGTTTGGGGCAGCTAGCTGGACAGAGACAATAGGTTTCAAACCTGTACAAAACCAATCAAATCACTCAAATATTGTCTACATCTCAGGAAGCAGATTGGTGCTTGCTAGGAGCTGGGGGAATGTTAAAAGTGGGGTAACTGTTTAATGGGTATTGGGGTTTTATTTAGGGCTGATGAAAATGTCCTGAAAGTAGGCAGAGCTGGTGGCTACGCCAGTACTCAGAATGTATGAAATACCGCAGAAAGGTTCACTTTAAAAAATTAATTTTATATTATGTGAATTTCAGTAAAAATTATTTTCAGGATTTAAAATTATACTATCCTAGAGTTATAAGTCATAAATATTTAAAATATTAATGAGTTCAATTTCCATATCAAATATTTAGGTTTTTAGAAAAATATTTCCATTTTAAATTAATGCTTAAGGAATACCCCACAGTAATAGCAATTCATTTAAATGCACAGTATTTGTTCTTTATCATAATGTACTTAATTGTACCCAGGTGAAAGGAGATAAAACTGGGAAATAAGCACATGTGACAAATGTCAATAAATTTGAAGTACAAAGGACCGTAAAAAAGAAACTGAACAAAAAGGATTTGGATTGTCAATTGTTTATATTTAAGGGGGGTGGGGAGTATATAATGTGTTGACATAAGTAGTGGCTACATGTTATTTTAAATGAACTACTTTCATATAATGAAGCCTGTACTGGATATTTATTTAACAAAATAACCAAATATGTACATAGCACCAACTTATAGGCTTACATTTCTCATATTATAACCTATAAAAGAAAGACAGGCACTAAGAAGCAGCATGTATTCTGAATTTCATTCAAAGGTTTAGAGAGAATTCTTAAATTACATTCATCAATACTATCTCTTATCCTCTCCAAAAGTCATGAAATCACATGCTTGGAATTATTACCTTGAAATGCTTCCATTTGATTTTTTAAAAAAGGATATATATATAGAGAGAAAAAGAATGTATACATAGTTTCTATCTTGGCTCTTACACTTTATCCAGAGTACTTTTTCTATGTGAAGTCAGGAAAGAACTGCATACATAAAACAGATCACAGAAGAATTTGAAGAACTTTGTATGTATTGGTTGGTTATTTTTTATTACAGGCTTTTTGGTAATCAATCATATTTATCCTCCATAATAACTGGGTAACCTCTATGGGAAATTATATAATCCTCAAAATTATTGAAATCTTTCTTAAAAATAGCAACAGCAATCCAGTTCAACAACTACCCACCTTCCCACTGAGTAAAATAGCAGAATGATTCAAATCAATGTTTTGTCCTGCTCATCAATATTTTTTTTACATAGCTATTCTGCTCATTTCTTTTTTTTTCTTTTTTCTTCTGGATATTATATATTAATATTAATATCACATATATTATTTTTCTATATCATAAAATACCTAGCATGGTGCTGTATTTTTAACTTTGTGGTCATTTTTATTTTTATTTCATCAATTTTTTTTGTTATTCATACTGAAGATGAGACTGTTATTTCAATGTTTATGCCAGAATCAGTCTTACCTGTGTGAGATACAAATCTCCTGTTGGAAGTCTTGGTTACTGAAAACTGGAAGAAGGGAAATTTCAGACATCTGCCTGTCACCCTGTCACATATGCCCGACTGACAGTTGCAGGTCTCCTTGCATTCCATCCCAAAGGTGCCGTAGGGACAGTCTGAGGGCAAAAGGAAAGTTTAGAGAGGGAGCAGCTTGCTGTGTGTGAGCCTCCATCCCCACAGCCCTGCACACTCTCTCAAAGGAACAAACTTCATGAATCTTGACTGTAAGATTAAACCCACCTTTGAAAATCCCCAGGCTTTGGAAATTCAAAGTGTAAGTCAAAAGGTCAAATCACACACTAAGACCATATAATGAATGCCTCAGTTATAGCCTCCTGCTATAAAATTTAGTTGAAGACATAATCAATATCCTTCAAGCAGTTTTAATTCTGTTTATTTTCTGCCTAGCTGCTAATAGACAGGTTCTCCTAGGTTACCTCTGGGACAGCCCAGTGAAAATTCACAATCGTAGAGCTCCTTGGGGATTTAAAAGATGTGATGCTGTCTTTGAATCCACTGTATTCCAGACAATTCTCTTTAGACATTTAGACATTTCCTAAATGTCTAGGAACGGGCTGCAAAGGAACAGGGGCTAAGATAGCTGTCACCCCAAGATATCTGTCTTCAGTCTGCTCCAACTCTTACCATCTTCCTTATCTGTCAAAATGGCAGTACAATTTACCTAACTTCTCCAGGTGTTGAGAAGATTCACTAGTGAAACCCTCTGCAATGTTAAGCGTTATGTTAAATAAACATGAAAGTTGAGAATTTATCCATATACCTGCCAAAATCTAGGAGCTTATAGAGTTCAATATTGTCATACTCTGACTAAAACAGCCAACACTGAGAAAAAGAGGACAAACTCGTTTATTAAAAATGAATGGATTTTGTGATGTAAACAGCAGTGCACTAAATTAACCTGTCTTTAAGAGCCAAACAGATTATAAATTGTAGAATAATTATTCTCTTGGTATAGAATAGTCTTTAAAATGTAGACTCACATATAGCTAAAGATGCAAATGTGACTCATCTGAGTCATTAGCAATTAATACTTGATAGAATGATCAAGATAGATACTAATAAGGTATACATATTTTTAAAAGAAATTTAAGATTGCTCTTTTCAGTTTCCTTCATATTGCAGAGAAGCCTGGTTTGAAGCAGTGGTCTCTTCTGGGGAAGAATTGTCCTTTAAAGGGATCTTGAAAAATTCTCTTGCAGAAAAGCCTGCAGGATTGGAATTAGCCTTTGGTGATATTGAAACCTAAAACTTTAGCCAAACTCTCAGATATACTTTTGTTATATCCCCCAATGTACTGGATATTGCTGGGCAGAGATAGTGGGTGTTTAATAAATACATCCTACATTGTTGGTTTGCTAATTGTTATCTGGGCAGCACAATGCCAAATATCTAAATATTTAGAAAGTATCTGGGTATGCTGCTGAAGCATACAGTATACTAGTATACTTCATGAAGTATATGAGTGTTCTGTAAAAAAAAGCTGGAGAAGGAAGTTTTCCTGTAGCAAAATGCAGTATCTATCTAGAGTTGCTGAGATTCACAGACTCACGACTACAGAAGAGAGAAAAATTTTTCAAAAGCAGACTTACTTGCAATCTAAAGAATGCCAAAGAGAGCAATCCTAAATATTTTTTAAATATATCTCATTATAGTGTCAATCATTTAGCAGATATTAGAAATGCTTTTCAGCTTTTTCTTTGCCCATATGTGATGGTACCCTTAGAATCACATTACAGAAGCAGTTTTTATGCCAAGAAAAAAGCAATCCACTACATATACTTGCTATATCATAAGTATAATTGTGTTAACCACTTCCTCCCTGATTTCCTTAGTACTGTTTTCTTGACTGATAAGTCCTGTTATTTACAGGGAAAAAAATACTATTTAGCTGAAAGAAAAAAGTATATGTTCAGAAAAGATATTTCTTTGATGTTCTGACTTTTATTGAGCAAAGCAGAAATAAAGCCATAAAGAAAATTCTCCCATAGTTCAAGCATTTATTTCCTAACCTTTAGTAGGCTTTGCAGAATAAAAGATGATTGACTTATAAATTATTTGTCTAGCAGATTGGGTCATTAATAAGAATAACCCAATGCTAGATGATTATTTTTCATGGAAGCATTGTATTAAATACATAAAATAAAAGAACTATTTAGAAATTTCCCACCCTTTATTATGAAACTAATGGATGAGGGGATAGTATGTGTGTTCCATTCTAGTAACAGCTCTGCATGATCAGATCATGAGGTACCCAATCAGAGTATTTTAAGTCACCATTTTTTTCTTATTTTGAATGTTAAATATTTTTTAAATGCTAAACATTTTAAGCTACAATCACTACACTTGAAATAAATTCTACAAATGCTTAACTACACTGTTTAGCTATAATTTCAACCAAATGAAGTTTTTAAGTCCTTAATGACTGCCAATCTCATTCTTTACAGACTTCCAATTATTTTTACTGTTATTTTTGCTTGTCTTACACCAACTGCTATTTTTCTAGATGAGCAAAAACCTTTATAAAATGGATTTAGATTTGTTTTATACTTCACGTTACCCTCTTCCAAGTAGCTGTGAGTCATTTCATTAGATGACTTAAGCCCACCAGATTTTACAAAGTGCATTAGTGTTCTTCAGAAAGAGTTGATCTTGACCGATGCCCTCCATCCTCTGGATCCTTTCAAGATCAAAGAACCACTAAAGCCCTGGGCTAAAAACCACTCTCAGAGGTTATCTATCCAGTGCAGACCTCAGTAATCACCGCCCCAGCCCGAGAGAGCACCTAAACATCCCTAACAGATTACCTGTCAAGTTGCTCAAGTGTTCCAGATAAGGAGGCAACACAAACTTCCCTTGCAGTTTTTTTTTTTTTTTCCTTAACACTCCTAAAGATAATGAGCAAAATGCTGCACTCCCCTATGTGCCTTTCCACACACTGGGTTGAGCTGCTATTTACAGTCATCCTTTTCTGGTTCCCTGTGGCAGCACCTGCCAGGGGCCTTATCCTCAGCCGCCTGCTTGTCCCTCTCCCTCAATGAGGAAAAGCCCCTCACTTCCCAGCAGACTAAAAGCCCTGGGAGCACCCTAGGCAGGAGGGAAGCAAGGGGTTACTCTTTACCTTTGCAGACACCGAACTCGTCACCAAAATCATCCTCCTCACTGTAAAACTGACACCTCAGCCCCGGGCCACACTTCACGCCGTCCATGCCTGAGACTGTGCGGTAGCAGGTTTCTCCCAGCCCCGCAGCACACACGCGGCAGCAACCACAGTCATCCAGCACCATCCTCTTGCAGCGCAGGCCGATTTTGCACTCGCTACTGTCACAGGTGTCCGGGCAATCCACCGCGTACTTGGTGCTCCAGGCTGTTGCCAGGTGCGCAGGTACCAGGAGCGTGGCCAGTAGCAAGAGGCTCCTCATGTTTCCCAGGGGCTTGGGCTCAGTGTGGTCTTTGCTGGCGGGAAGCAGCCGTCCAAAGTGGTAGCTGAGCCTCTGCCTACACGTTTATGTGTTTTATACACTGGGTTGCCCGCATGCTTCCCCGTCATCAATTTCCTCAACCCAGCAGCAGCGCTGTCCTCCTGCCAGGCTCTCTTGTTTTAGTTTATGAAATCCAGGATGAAGGCTGGATTAACACGCTGCTGCCATCCAGGAATTGAAAAGCCCACGCTGATGTCATCTGTTATGTTTAGATGGTTGTTTTGCATGGGGACTAAAAAACTCACTCACATCCGTCTGGAGGGCTCAAGGACGTCTGTGACAGGGAGGAGAGAAGGTTGCATACCTTCCTTCAGGACAGGGATTGTTCTGACACCGGCATATCACTCGGACTGAAGCTTTATCTCAGAATCTCTGGAGTCAGGAGGAAAATGGTGTGGACATGAATCATCAGGATCGAAGAAGCTCCTTTTTAAAAAAATAAATAAACATTTGGTATTTCCCTTCAATAAACAGCAATGAGATCATTTGGAAGAAGAAAGGGGTATATTGTGCCTTTTCAATACTTAGAAGAAAGAAAATATTTTGAAGGGGATTTTTCTAAAGACCCTCTCTTCCTTCCTCTCACCCCTCTCCCCAAATATTGTTTCTAAAGGAATTCATAGTGTGCATAGTTGTCAGGGATGTAGCTGTATTTCTAGTAAGATGTGGAGCTGCAGCTGAGAATTTCCTTTAAATTAATACACAATGCCACAAAAGAGGTAAGATGCTATTGGCACTGTTCCTGGGTTACTCAATTCTGGAAAAACTTATCAGTTGGACTTCTCCTGACCCAAAATTCCCAGGGGAGAAGGCTCATCCATCACTGAGTCAGCTTGTCCAATGACAAAGCCTCTTCGGATGGCTTCCCCTCACCTTCTGGCATCTATCAGAGCCCTCACTAAAAACGCCAAACGAGGCAGGCAGCCCAAAGAAACAAACAAGCCAGTAGGGAAATCAGAATGTGGCTCAGAGAGGCAAGTCACAGGAAGGGAAAACATAACCCATCAGGAAAGAAAGTCTTCAAGTCATGGAGCACCACAGGATTTCAAGCCACTAGGGAGGACACAGCAGTCCTCTTCAAATCAACTGGACCATCACACTGCCATCTTGTTAAGCAAGGTTTGTGGGCAGAAAGAGCAAGGAGAAAGAAGAGAGCATTCTTATACCAGTGACGTCTTGGATTCTAAGTACTTCTCTGTCATCCCCCAACCCCCACAAAAAAAAAAACAACTCATCAAAATTAATATATTCTATCCTCATCTCCCCCAGAAGCAAATACACACTTAGCAAATGACATGTTCTGGTCTATCTTTTTCAATAGTGGGTAATATTCCTTGAGCACTGTTCTGAAGCATCTTACATGTATTAACTCACTCATTTCTCATCATGACCTTATGAGATAGGTACTATTATGTCCATTTTATGAATAAAGAAAATGAGTCAGAAAGAAGTTAAATAATTAGCCCAAGTTAAATAATTAGCTCAAATAATTCCCCATTAATGTCATAGAGCAAACTTGAATCATGTCACTCCAGTATCAAAGCCGCACATTGCCTGTTATACACATTGGTGTTTCCATAGCCAGTGGTTCTTATGGCCTGGTTCACAGTTCAGACTGTAACCTGGAAAAGATTTCTTGTTCCAACTTGACTGAATACCACTTTCTGATGAGAGAGCAGTTAACTGAAAGAGTGGTTAATAACAACACCTAACCATTCTAGAAATCTTACTAAGTGCCCAACAACACTATGCACTTCATGAGGATTACCACATTTAACTTTCAAAACAATCTCAAGAACAAGGTACTATTCTTAACCCTATCTTAGAGATGAGAAAACTGAACCCTTTAGAGTTTAAGTAACTTGCCAAGATGACACAGTTAACAAATGGTGAAGTCAGGACACTGAGACAGAGTATCTCTAGAAACTAGAATAAGGATTACAAAATCAAACACATACGGGTGCCAAACAGGTGACCCAGGTGAAGCGGTAAATTATACCTGGTTTAATGCAGTGGGAAGGAGTAGATTTTTTCACCTGGGAGCACCTGCCTCCTCTAAAGGAAGCAGCCACTCCTTAGGGGCTGCTGACTGCTGCCATGCAGAAATATAAGCCCACTGTACCGTACCCAGTCTGCAAAGTTAACTGATGCCACTGGATGCCAGACATTTTAATGTAATATCCTAATTTTTTAAGTGTTGGCCAATATTTCATTCAAATTAGAAAACATTACATGCACCCTCATTCCTTATAGACTATTGATACACCAACTTGGTCTTGCTATATATTTTGGATTCTGACAGTGCTGAATTCAAATCTCTGCTCTGCCACTTACTACCTAAGCGGTCCTACATAAGGAAACTGGAAAGGGCCTTCTGATCCTTCTGATCTTTTAGAGGAATTTAAGGAAGAAATAATAAAGGGTCTTTGAATGTCAACATCGTAAGTGGTGAGGAGAAGGACAACCCCTCCTCTGAGTTCCCCAAAATTGATAATACCTGTAGTAAATGACAATGTGATGGAGAGAAGATGTCAGTTGAGACACCAGATATACAACAGTAAACCAATACACAGAAGAGAAAAGAAAGCGTATTCACGATCCATAATGATAGAAACTTCTCAACGCATACCACTCATTACTCAATACACAGCACAAAATGGGACACTCATTTGGAGAAACTTCAATTCCTTCCCAGAGCAAACAAGAACTATTTGTTCTGGCACAACCCCTATGAGATTTCTTATCTAGTTATATTTCTTTCTCAACCTTGAGCCCAGATCTACCATTCTTATGAGGAAAGTTAAGAAGGTTAGGAAATCAGAGCATGCATAAGCAAGGAACTGACTTTAATCTGCAGCAAAAAAGTTAAGGTGAAGGCAAAGCTATTGATGATGAGGGTGTGAAGTCCACCTTGGTTGGCTTGTCTTGTTTGGGGACTGTCAAATCTCTAACCTTTTTCTGCTTGTGCATCAATTGTCAATTCACAGAATGAGAAGGGCCTCTCTGAAAATGCAGATCCAAGCTATGCTGGATCAAACCATATAACTCAGGATCTAGAGGGTATGTGTGGCCTTCTGCATTGGGGCCAGGGGAATGATAAAAACCAAATAACTATCAACCCAGGACACTCTGTTCATTTAAAATACCATTGTGATTTTTTTTCTTAAACTTAATATTATACAAGCAGAAAAATAAGCCAAGGTAATGTGCACTGGTATTTTGTGCTTTATTTTTCACAATATGATGGCTTGTAACCAAATACCAAGCATTTTCTCTAGACAGGAAACGTGGGGAAGGCTCTGGAAAGGTTCCAAACCATCATGGTCAAGTCAACTCGTACCATACTTACTGTGCCTTTCTCACAACCCCCTCCACCAGATAGGTTTGATTTAAATTAAATGACAAAGGCAGCCCTGGAGGTGAAAATTTCCAAGCAGTAAGTGGAGAAATTTAGGCATGAAACTTGGGTTTTGGTTAGTTTTTGATTTTGGTTTTGGTTTGGTACCATCTAAAAGTCATCCTGCTTTGACACCAGCTGATGGCAGTTTTGCAGGTGGCCAGTTTAATATTTAGTAAACAATAATATCAATGGTTTCCCAGAATCATTTCCAGAGTGGTAAGTTAAAATGGGCACCAATATGTTCCCTTTATTTCTCTTTCCACCAGGGAAAGTAAAATAAGGTCCAGATCCTGGGGCAGTTGGATTGAGCTGCAGCCCTTGAGTGCTTCTTTGTGCAAGTGAGGCCGAAGTCTTCAGAGAGAGAGGCCACAGAGGATTGAATGGGACCCGAGCAGAGACAGCTCTGCCACCACCAAGTCTTGTGATGTTAGACAAGTCACAGGCCATATACATTAAGTCCCTCGTGTCTCCTCTCTACCTCAACAAATTAGGAGGATCAAGAGGGGTTTCATCACTATTAGAGTCTAAAGCTTTAAAATTTACTTCATCCTTCTAAAATAATCTTACATTTTGGGGCAAACATTTTCACAAAAGAAATAGCTGTACACTTTTTATTTCCATTTTTAAGAAAAAATTTAAATAGTGAAGTCAGATTTGATGTTACAGTCAATTTTCAAAAACTACATCTGCTCAGATGAATAAAGTGAAATACACCACCTTTACTTAGGTTTCTGACCTGCCTGGGCCCTCTGAGTTGTCTTAAGGAGCAGATCAAGGATGCAGGCAACAGGAGGAGGAGGGCAACCCCACTGTTGCCCCCAGAAAAGAGTGCCTAGGGAGGAGTGATGGTGAGGGAGTGTGAGAAGATAGGACAGGGCACCCACAGTGTTTGCTACAAGCCTCAGCCACTGCTCAGAGACTTAGCAACCTGATCCAGAGTATTGACAGAATCCTCTGAGGACGCAGACACAGAATAGGGGTGGTTTTCTTAAGCCCTGGCCAAATCTAGAAGTCTCTACTCTGGGTTCACACTGTCAGGAATTCTTTGAGAGTGAGAAAGTCTAGATGTAGGGACACATGAGGAGCTTTCACTACCCAGCTGCCTACTGCTTTTTGCCCCCAGTTCTAGCAGGTTCTAGTAGGGGCAGTCAGGCAAGTCTTTCTAACAGCTCCCTCTTTCTCAGACCAGGGTTCTGAGTCAATAAACCCATTTGCAGGAGACTCCAATCAGACAGTGTCCTGCCTCCAAATAGGAACCCAGAAGCATTGGGTGCTGCTGTGACACAAAGGAGAAGCAGTGTGCACTGCAGAAGTCCTCTGAACTTGGAACCAAAAGGCCGGAGTTTGAGTCCCAGCTCTATGGGTCCTGGTGTCAGACACCTACCAACCTTCCTAATGACGTGAAAACACTTTTTCAGCAAAATAGTAGGGATAGAATATACAACACCTTTCTCAAAAAGATGTTGTGAAGATCAAAGGAGAATGCCAGATGTGAAAACATGTTCTCAACTGTAATTTACCATGTAAGTATAAAATACTATTCTATAAGATATACTATGCCAGAAAAGAAAGTGGGCCTGTGGCTGACTATCTCTGCCTTTACCTTTCCTCCATTTCCCTCACCTGCAAAATGGCACAGCTTTTCATTGATGTAATTCACAGGACGATGGCTGAGCATTCCAGACTCACTTGGGAAGACTCCATCATTCCTCTCTGCAGCCTGCCTCACCCCTCCCAAGGTAGGATGATGAAACAGCTCACCAATC